TGATATAATCTGACGTTCATTTTTATCGTAAACGATGCCTGTTACATACTTTTTTTCAATTTTCAATGTACTTTTTGAAAAAAAAAGTGGATCTAAACAATGCTTGTTTTAAATGCCCCAACATCAATCTACATTTTTACATAGGTTGGACCATGTGCATTGTTGAACTATATAATAATGCATATATGAAAACACTGCGGTTTGCGGAGGTGGAATTTGTAAATTGTTTGCTAAACATTTAAACGGTATGGGAAAGTTTTTGTAAATTTTTTTTCATGTTAAACTTAAATTATTAAACATATTTCCTAAATGATCTCGATTTCATCGATCCTACAAGAGAAGATATATCGAGCACTGTTAGGGTAAATAATATGATGTTTACTGTGAACTAATTCACCGACTGACAATCCATCCATTGACTGAACTCCATAGATGCGATATACATGTAAAAGGAAAAGCAAAAATTTAACCTATTGATACATTCATGGAGGAAAAATTCGCACCTACTGATGTTCATACTATTCACACCATTTCTGCCTTCTGTGAACGCTGATAGGTGTGTTGTTACACGACAATGATTTTAAAGTTTTCGCACCGAACAACCTTCCGGGCAACCTCGTTCCCGTAGGTCGATTTCGCTGCGCCATACTGGTTTTCATCATTTCTTTTGTGACGGGCAACAACGCGCACGAAGCCCGTGGGAATGAGATTGCGTTCCTCTCATATTCTGTCAGAAGATCAAACAGCGCCATCGCATGTCATACACGAAATCCACTATTGCTTCCTGGACTCGGGCCACGGGAGCACCGTAATATCTTGCAAACAGGACCGGAGAACCCTCGGGTCGGCAAAGGACGGATCAACAGATGGTATTTTCATCTGAGAACACAATCTTTCCCATTGACAGGACAACAACCCGAATTGCATGAAATGGCGAAAGTAATTTCCCTAGGGGCATTACCTCCCACCTACGCGATGACGTTGATGGCGCAGAGTAAACTACACGGTCTTTGTGGAATGCACGAAGAAACAACGTTGCCGATTACCACATTGACGATTGATCACTCTGGGGAACACAAAGTGCTAGTGGAGTGATTTCCAATTGAAACCAAATACTTGTAACCAATTCAATACTACTGTCTGAGACAAATCCGTCTAGCTCTTCAACAATTTTACTTACGGTACAATGTTCATTTAAATTCAACACTGAGGAATGAAAAGTAATCTTAATATGGTGCAGAAATATCAACACCAAATGTTTGCGATAACTGATTGTAACCTACGTTCACAATGTGACCAATGTTCACAAAATCGGGTATTTGAAGAAAACTTCAGTATAAACACAACAGTTAATGATCTACAAATTCAAATGTTCAGAATGACAAGTGAGGCACATGCAACAGATTTGCTGTAAAGGTTTAATGCTCTCGGAAGGTGTTTGCACATCAAGATGTGAGAAGTTGGTACTTACCCGTCTAACACCTCGTCGTCTAAGTCAGGAAGTTTGGACACTTCCTCGTCGATATCCTCGGCTATTCTGGCCATTGGCCACATGAAGTACATAGATTCCCGTACCAGCTGCCTCAGCTGCGGCCCCACCATGGCGTTTAGATTGGGGAGATCCGTCTGGGACTCACTCAAGGTCTTGGACTTGGGCAAGGAGAGCCGCAAACGACGAGACTTGGTGCTGTTAGACGCCTCCATAACTGATCCACTCGCTATTTGGTTGGCTCCTGCGACAACTGAGGCCGCTCTCTTGCCTTATCAAAGACAGAAGTAATTCGCCAATGACGCGGAGCTAAGGTGGTTGTCATCAACGTACGATCGTTGCTCCTGCTCTGTGTGGGCGGTGTTTAAAACGCCAATGGGGAATTTTAAACGATTTCTGTGGCGGTTCAATAGTCGGTGTGTTCCAACTTTATACGAGTATGATTCTCCAGCAGTTGTCCACAGTACGATAACCCCCAAAGGTTCTATCAAATTCATCCGTCTCCTTTCCCCTTAAAATCTGGCAAGGAAAGCACAGGGCCACCTCGTATCTGTGAATAGAAATAAAAACACTAGGTGCATTTTTAAAACAAACTTCATAAGATAATTATCTCATTATTACGCAAAATTGCGATCCCAGACCAATACGACCCTTTCCAAACGCACACTGCATCGACAGATTTTGTGCACTATGATTGGCCAACGCGTAGCAAATTAACACTTGGAGGCGCACTACTGTGACTCGCCCGTATTCGAGATGTGACACTGGCGTTCACTGCGGCTACTGCCACCATAAGGGAATAAATGCCAACCAAATTCAAGTTAATGAAATCGACAAATTCCATAATTCACACGGAATTCATTCGTTTGACTTTTCTGAATATTTGTTCAAAAAATCAAACGAAGGAATCCGTATGACCAGATGGTATGTACATTGGAAATATACAGAACCCTGGAAAACGCCAATAGAGACACACAGCATATTTCCAGTCGTCTGTATCAGGATGGCTGGACATTATGGTCTCGATAATCTATGTTGGATTGGTTCTTTTCGAAGGACAGCGCGCCCTCTCTAAATCCAGCGATAAAGATCACATACCGACCGACTAGTTACCCTCAGCACAATTAATGATGACACAGAATTCAAATGCAGCAGCACCAACAAATTTAAATTTTGAAATTAATTGGAAATAGACTTCGTTGTAAATTTACCAAATATAATTGTTACGGCAATATAACCATGAGAAATAACTTTGAGCTGTAATTTATATTCTAACAATTATTGCGAGAATTGTATATTTCATAATTAGCGGTTTGTGATTCTGTAGGCTAAAAGTGCAAAAGTGCAGTATTATGTTATTCTCTTTGTTGAAGAAATGTTATCGGAACAAGCCAATCTCAAGTTAAGCTAGATAACAACGGTATTATATTTACTTCCAATAAATGAATATACTGTGTTGAGTTTTTGCAAACATTGATATCTAAAAACAGGTAACCAAAATCGTAGCTTCGGAAAGCTGCAGTATGTGAAAAAAAATACAACGCAAGATTAACCTTGCTCAAAATATACGTGTATTGAAATGTATTTAGAAAAAGTGGAATGTTAACACACATCTTTGCTACATTCACGGTGGCGCACGCGTCAACATGCGTGCCCCTTGGGAAATATTTACACAACAGAGGGGCAAGAATGAGCGAAAACGTAGATTTTCTATTCCACGAACAGACTCGCCTCTTTACTAACTGATTTCGGCTAATTGACCACTGTGTGCCATTTTAAATACCATGTTCAGGCAAACGTTTAGCTAGTCGAAGAATCATTCGAGGGCTCTAATGCACAAACTTGTTCAATGCTTTTTTCTTGTCTTTTTTTTTCTTTTCGTTTTTGGCAGTTTTGAAATACGAAAAACCTCTGCAGGGATTATCTCGAAAACCATTTTCCTTCAAAATCTACATGTGTGACTCTTCATCAAAACGGTGTCAAAATATTATTTGCACTTGTAAAATGTTAGAGTTTCATATTTTAAGAGGAAATAAGTGATTTTATGAAAGATTTAGACTAATATGCATGTACAAGAACACTTGGCTATCTGACGCTAAGCTGCCAGCATGAAAAAATACCGTAAAGCTTTATTAGTGGTGAGAAAATAAAGTTCAAAATTTTGTTATTATCGTTCAGGTTCAAAAAGATATAACATGACGACGTGTTCTCTTACACAGATATAAAATACTTTTAACTGAATAAGAATTTCAACAGCAATATTTTAAAAATCACCGGAGGCGGGTTTTGATACGCTGCAGAATGCTACAAAATCATAAATGCATAATTTGACTCTTCATTTTCCAATTGCACCGCAAAAAAGCCCCCCCCCCGAAAAAAAGCCAAAACACAAAACCAAAAAAAACCCAAAAAACAAAAACAAAACCAAAAACAAAAAACCAAAAACAAAATTACTACATTTTCCTAACTTCTTAGTTGGTTTACAGAAGCAGTGCCAGTTAACCGTAACTAACATATTTAATATCTGGAAATATGATGGTATTTACACATTATATCAAAACACATTTAAGGAGGATTTAATTGACTTGCTTGAACGTGAAAGGGATTTTGGTAAGATTTTCCGAAATTACAGACTGTGAATGTACAGCAGTGTTCAGTGAGTTGTGAAAATGACTACCTAAGGAGGCTGAGATCAGTCAAGATTTGGTTTCATTGGAGATTCCCTCATTAACTGGTACAGTGTATATTGCACTTCGTCTTCCAACGGCCTCTTTTATGGTATATCTTGTGTCAATTTTACAAGACGAATGCGTAAATTTATCTTTCTGTGTACTCATGATTGCCTAAATTTTGGCCACCGGCCAGAGAAGTTAATATAGTTAAGTAGTTTATGGTATAATAATCAGTCGCGTGGTTAGTGTGAAGGCTACTTGTTATACACACAAGTTTAAAAATCAAAGATCAAAGACCATCAAAATGAGTGTAAATTTTGCACGAAAATATTGCTTCAATTACAGCCATTACACGATTAAATTTTCAATTTGATTCAATTCAATTGAGAATAAAACTCGGACATTCGCTTTAACGTGAAGCTGTGTTTAGCACGTTAGTGACTTTTTATGAGAGATTATCATTGTAATGATGATTTTATATTAATTGTGATGGTGTTTATAATAACAGCATAATCAAAGTATTAAACGACCACCATAAGGATGTCCTGCATTCGACAATATTTTATTGTATTTACCAACTATGCTTTAACGGTTCATTTCAAACTCTACATTTTCAGTGTTGAAATTCCCGATACAGGTGGGGAGAGAATCGCCCAGATATTTCTTGTATTTCCGTGAGCAAGCCATGTAACCAGAGAAAAAACAACTGTGCTCAAAGGTCGCAAAACGATAACTGCACTCCAGCGTCAATATTATGTCGTTGCGAGGCCACCGTACAAAAATATCATTATCAGTTCCATCACGGCCCAATGCATTATGCAAAAATGCACAATCGAGTAGACACGACGAATACGTGAACACAATACATGCATTGGCATATTTCACACTGTATCTGGTTATAATGTCAAGAGTATGTGGGACAGATCGAGCTGATTTTACACAGGTAGGTGGACGTAACAATTTTGGAAGATTTTATTGCAGTAATTTTAGGACGCCATTGTACATTTCATCACACAATCTCAATTAATAACTTAACGGGGGAAATTCCAGATAGCCCTAACGGGAAGTAATAAACAACCATTTCATCATGTACGTAGTACGTATAGAGCAAACAGTGTGACCTAGGCCTCCACAAATGCTTCATATCGGCTTCCCCACATGCCACTTAAAGCCACTCTTTGTTTTGTGGAATATCTCTGTAGATTCTATATTTGTTATTGTCTTTCTTGTTCTAATGGGATGCAGAAGCATTCATGTCATCAATCAACTATAACTCCATGGTGACATTAAAGTGCAACTGTGGTTTCGTTTCTTGCAATGACATGGAAATGTGTCAAAGGGGGTACTGCGTTGTGAAGTAAAAAAAAAAGTCTGGACGTCGACATATTAAACGTCAGTGACTTCTATGCTGTGACAAGGGTGTCTTTAAAATGTAGAAGAAACTAGTTTTAAGTTATAGTTTTCACTGAAAGCTTAATGCAAAATCCAGATTCTGATGAACCTTTTCAGCTCTTAGCCCAAAGTACGAAAATGCCACCTCTTACACTATCAGGTGCATGTTTGGTTAGGGTCAGTCCATTTTCATGACCTAAACCTAAACTTCCAGGTTTCAGACCATTGCAACGTTTTTCAGTCCGGTTCCAGAAACGCATTTTTTCCCTTTTTACTAAAATGTCTACTTATTGGGTTATTTCCAGATGTCACATTTCAAGTATGGCCTCTGGCGAAAACTATGGTCATTTTCTTCTCCCGCTTACCATGAACCAAGGTCCAATAGATGTTCAACTAGCTGAGCGTTTGTTTGCCCTTCGATCTGAGCATCTTCACAAACGACGACCAGAGCGTCATGCCATCAGAAACCTGCTTGCCATGCTTGCCTTTCGACTGGGCCATTTCGACAAAGCTTTGGAGTATTTGGACAAAATTCTCTCTCCTCTGGAAGACCCGAACAACTTGAACGCCCTAGCCAACCGACAGTACATGTGTCAGAATCTGTTCCGGGTCCAAGAAGCACGGGAATGTGAGAAGAGGATAGTCTGGTTGCTCACGGATGGTGATACGGAGGAGATGGAGACAAGACGCAAGAAGCTGCGAGCACGTAGTCTGGCGGAACAGGCCTTCGCTTACTCCTTTGAACTCTTTGAGGAGTGCATATCTTTTGGGAGATACCGTAAATCGATTGAACTCTACCAGACTGCCATTGAGTTAGCAGGTAATGTCATTGATAAGGAAGAGATGGACGAGTGGATCTTCACAATCGGAGTGGCATCTTTCATTATCTACAAGCGAATCAAATACGTTTCAATGAGTGACGAAGCTAAGACACGGCTGCAGACAGCTATCAACAGCTTTATCCAAACTGTAAATGAATGTCAGGACAAGAATTTTGTGAGTGATGCTTGGAGGCATCTTGGGGTTCTCTTCAAGCAATCTGCCGAGCAAAAGCAGAGTTCACTTCTACCTTCCCTCCCAGACGACTTCCAAGAATACGTGCGCAAACCGGGTCTGTGTTTTGAGAAGGCGTATAGCGTCTCCCCGCACGATCCGCGGATTCTTGCAAGGCATGCAGAATACTGCAAAAACTCAGGGGATATCGAAAAGGCATTGGAACTAGTGAACGAATCGATCCAGTTAAATGCAACGGTCTTCAACCTCCATGCGTATTGCGTCAGAGCATATATCTTGATTGAACAATACAAAGAACAGCTAACTAATTTCAGAACACCAAGCTTAACTTTACTTGAAGATGCAGAAAAAGATTTAGCCGTAACTCTTCAAACATTTGTTACACCTTGGCATTTAGCAACCATGGCAGAAGTCTTTTACCTCAAAGCACTGGATCGTTGTGGCAACGTGATAAAAGGAAAAGAAGGAACGAACAACCTGCAAGTTGCACTCACCTACTGTGCCAAAGCCGCGGCCTGCTACGGGGGTAAAAAAAGACCAGAAGTTCATAAACAGCGTGGTGAATGCCTCTGCGTCATGGGTGAGCACCAGACGGCATTAGGCTGCTTCAAGAGAGCCGTCGACTGCGAAATTGCTAACCAGTTTTACAAGGGAAGCATTGGGCGACTTGTCATTGAGTATGTTCACGTATTACGCTACAGGTCATCAACTCTTTCTTTTGATCCGCCATTCCTCGCTGACATGGTTTACTGGCTACAGAAGGCAGCTGGTATATGTCTGTCCACAGGATGGATTCTGACGCAGCTCCAAAATCTTCAACAGATTCCAGGATTTTGGAAAATCTTTATCGACTACTGTATTAAAACTGGGCATGGAGACGATCTTGAAAGCATAGAGCTAGCAGCTTGTGCCGAGGAAAGCCGTTGCAAAGTATATCGCCAACATTCATATCCCACCTTGAATGAGGAATCTGTTTCGGAATCCGTCGTTAGGAAGAGATGCAAAAGTTTCCCAAAGGTTGGTTCCGTCTGTATCGACACATCACCAACGATCCAAAAGACCCACGAAATACGTCCGCAGTTGGTTACTGCTGCCTTATCGTCTGTCAATCTGGAAGCCTCAGGAGAAGTACAAGAGGATATTGTTTATCTTATATATAATCTCAAAACTGGAAACATACATATCCCTTCTAAATTATCTTCTGACAGTATAACCAAAGATGTCTCCTGCAAACATGTCAAGCCAGCTCCCGATATAGCCTTCAATCAGCAACTTCCCAACGATTTCTTTGTCATTTACAGCGACAGAGCCTCGGAATGGGTCCAGCACAGTCTCCTGGAGGAACTAGAGAGAAATCGCCTGAAGGGATGCATACGACATCGCGACTTCATCCTTGGAAAGCCGAATCTCGAGAACTACTCGGACTGTATAAAACAAAGTGTGTGCATCATTGTGGTGATCACAAAGGACTTTGAGAAGGACCAAGGCTGTGTTCGGGGTATGCTAATGGCAATGGAAGAAGGGAAAGTTGTGATCTCTATTTTACGGGAATCGAGGGACCTTCCTCAACTACTTAAGCCGTACGCTGGTCTGGATGCTACCGATGGTACTGTTGACTGGGCTCGGCTGGAAAGAAACATTGAACAACAGATCAACTCTAACATTAAATACGACACTTAAAAAATGCGATCACTGGGGTGACACAATATAGAAATAGCGCAAATTCTCGATGGAAATGCTTTTAACATAAACGTACTGTTCATGCTCCCAAATATTTCATTTTGTTTTCCGTGAACAAAAGCCATCTGTCGGGGAAAAGTTCATATTCTCAAACTTTTATACGCAGATGAAATATATCCATTAGCACTACCTTTCAACTACTGGCTTTTCAGCAGACCAGACTTTTATTAATTTTTAAACTATGTGCGAGTATACACCTGCGGGTGTGTAGTTTCCGCGCTTTGAATTTCGTGTCAGACTGTTACTTGGAAATTATTCTTAAGGGAATAAAGACGCTTGTTTATCTTTTGTTAGGCCATAAGCGGAGTGCAAAAGCATTTATCATTTCTTGGTCCATTTGATAAAAATAATGATGATAACTGAGAGGCCTTTTATAGACAGGATAAAATTTTCCTGATTCAAATGATCCATCACGGAGGCCTCTTTATATTTACGGTTTAAAGTTTATCGGATTTCACTACTCGATAGACAGGAAAGGCAAACCGGCCACATTTTGACAACTAGAAATAAAGAGGGCGCTGTTGATCATCATTATGCATGCTCGCCCGTCCGCTATTTAGGCTTAGCACAACCTAGGCCCCAAAGTACATAGTACATACCGGTTCTTTCTTTTCATTTGAACGGTTCAGCACGTATGGCTCAAGTACTCTAGATGGAGCACATACCAGCATCTGGATACTTAGCAATACCGTGAGTTGAATCCTACCAAAAGTAAAACGGATCTTGAACTAGACCATCATGAATTTGTCTGAGCAATTTCGCCGTGACTCGGCCAGACAGACACTGAAACTGTGGCCGTCCACAACACACAGCGAGGTTAACGCTGGATGGTTCTCACTTCTTCGGCCAGTAAGTGTACATTTTGATACTGAATTTACCTGAAATTACATAGAAGTAAGGCTGGCTCCATGCCACGTCGGTCGTCAAACTTTGTCGTTAGTAGCTTCATTAATTGATAAATTTGCCCACAGCACTACATACACTAATATCAAATCATTAATTGAGGACTGCAGTTTGACCTACATGTGTATATGAAGGAATTTCTAATGAATTATTTTCATGAAGTGACGCTGTGACAGGCCTGGTAATATCGATAAGCTTAAGTATGTATATGTGGTGGTGATAACATATTTTACAGACCACATTATGAATTTCGTGCAAACCCATGCAAACGTTTCTCCAACGGCAGAAAAGTAGGTTACATCGACGAACATCTTTTAATTCTGCTAGTAATGAATCAACAAACTGTTTCACGTTTTAGCCAGTGGACGACTACACAGGGAAGCCATTCAGAAAATGGACTTATTCAGAGTAGCACATTTACACAGCGCAGGATTTCTACATAAAACAGCTGACAGTACTTGTATTTTTTGAAAGTTGCTGTCATGGAACTGTTGAGCAATGCATTCAAACATTAAATAGTTGCCACCAGCCCATTAATTATTTCATCTCGATCCTTTCATCCATTAGTCAGGATTTGTTGTGACTCATTAATTTACGAAGTGGACGACATGAAGTTCAGCCATCTGTAACAGTAAACTACAGAATGTCACAGGATAGCAAAAACAACCAGGAAATGTCATAAATATGCCAAGTGTGTATAACTGCTGCCCTTTTTAGTAGTGAGAATCGATGGATCACTGTTATGAGCCTTTCTGCTTCACTGAACCTAATGTGTTACACTGGGGGGTGATGAAAATGGAATACGTGTACTTGAACTCTGATCCTATGTCTGGTGTTTATGGCAATGGGGGTGGACGGAAGCATGAACTGCAATGGTATAGGCCTATATACATATAGAAAAGGGACAAAATAATGTATGCCTCAAATGTATTTGCAGTTGAGATCAATATGCTGCGTGGTTGGTTTGAGAAATTTTGGTCGTGTTCTTAGGCTTCTAAAAGGAAAACTTGGTTAGGTTTTTTCGATAAATGTATTAGATTAATAACACCTGCACCTCTAGGCGGATAATCGGCAAATTCATAGATCGGTCAAGTGGATGAACAATACTTGCAAGTTGGGATATTTGATCAGACAACTTATATGAGAGCAGAAGTAGTATAGGCAACATCCCCGAAACAACAATAACAATCCCCTCCACAAATAAGCCTCTTTCATTAAGTGACAGCACACGAAAACGAGAGCAAGTCTTTCATTCATATTTTCTTCACTTCCTGTACAGGCTCAAGAAGACGTCGACAAGTCCACCGAGGCTGTTGGTCTATTCTTGTTACCTTTGACCATAAACAAGGACAACATCAACGCCAAATTGGCCGACAGAGTTATTGCCATTAGAAGGCGCTTCTTGGACTTCAAGAAAACCCGACCGGAGAGGCATGCCATCCGAAATCTTCTTGGGGTGCTCGCTTTTCGACTGGGCAAATTCGATGAAGCTCTGGAATATTTCGACAAAGTTTTGTTAGAGGGTGAAGATCCAGATAATCTGAATGCCCTCGCAAACCGAAAATATATCTGTGAGAAACTCTTTCTGTTTCCAGAGGCCAAGGAGTGCGAGCAGAGGATTACTGACCTACTTCAAAATGGTTTAGAAAATCGGAGTAAATATAGAAAGCTGAAAGCGCGCCGTTTGGCTGAGCACGCTTTCGCGTACTTATTCGAGCTCTTCGAAGAATCTGTGACATTTGAAAAGTACGAGAGATCAAGTGCTCTTTATAAGGAAGCCATTGATCTTGCCGGAGATTTAGTTAGCCAAGACGAAATGGAAGACTGGTTGTTCGCCTCGGGGATGGCTTCTTACCTCATCTATAAAAGAATTAGAAGAGGGGGGCTGCGACAACATGAATGCAGAGATCGCTTTCAAGACGCAGTGAACAAGTTTGTTAAGGTTACACAGATGTGTCAAGACGGCCTTATCCTCGGTGACAGCTGGAGAACTCTTGGAGAACTCTTCGGAAAACAGCAAAACCACCTTCCGTTGGTCCCCGACAAGTTTCAAAGTTATGTTCGTCATCCTGAGCAATGTTTTAAAAAGGCTTTGTCAGTATCACAAGACAACCCTCGAATAATCGCAAGATACGCAGATTATTTACAAGGACATTCTCGAAGCAAAGCATTAGAGTTACTGGACCAGTCGATCGAAAAGGACTCAACTGTGTTTAATATTCGTGCGTACTACATCAGAGCAAAAATTTACATGGAACAATTCGAGAAAGATGAGAACATTTCCTCACTAGAGAAAGCCGAAGAGGCTTTGGATGTTACTCTCGAATATTCATTTACACCATGGCATCTAGAATTGAAGGCCAAGGTATTTTATTTAAAAGCCAAACATCAGACAGGAATAGGAAGGCAGGCTAACCTGCAAAAGGCGCTTCTTTTTTGTGCCAAAGCTGTCTCCTGCCAAGATGGCCAAAGCCGACCAGATGTTCATAAACTGCGTGGGGAGTGTCTGTGCGCCCTGGGACAACACAAGATCGCACTAGGGTGCTTCAAGCGCGCCATTGAGTGTGAATCCGCGGCTAGTTTGTATCTGGGAAGTGTGGATCTTCTTGTTTGCGAATACGAACACATCTTACTATCCACTCCAGCTCCCCTACCGCCCGATTCTCCATTGCTTGCTGGCATGGTTTACTGGCTTCACCAAGCGGCACAACTGTGTCTCGCTGCACGAAAAAAACTTCAGTCGCTGTCTAAAATCCAACAGCTTCCCCGACATTGGATACGATTCGTCATGTACTGTCACGATAACAAACACAGCCAAAAATACGAAACTATCAAACTGGCAGCTGCACACGGGAGTAAAAGTGGTCCATCTGGTCCGCACCGCCGACGGATGTCATGCCACGAAATAGATGAAGGGTTTTGCCGACCTAAATTGCCCGACAGAAGTCGGCGTAACAGTTTTCCTGGAACAGATGCTTTTTTTCAAGAACCGTTTAAATGGATTCCCTCAACAGTTACTGCAACCGATCTTGATGAATCCCAGTTGATCTCTCATCATTCCAAACCCGTCGATGGGGAGATCGACGAAGATTCTAAAGACCTTCCCTTCTCAACAAAAAAGGAATATAATACCTTAACATTCACAGTATTTTGGAATCCCAAGACTAGAAAGATTGAAATCAAGACATTACCATCACTCTCCGATACTGAAACAGACGATGTAACAAGCAAACATGTTAAAGCTGCACCTGAAAATTCCCTTAATCGCAAACTTACATACGACTTCTTCGTCATATACAGTGAAGATGCTTCGGAATGGGTTCTACACGAGTTACTTGAAGAACTGGAAGGGAGTGGTCTTAAAGGTTGCGTCAAAGACCGTGACTTCACTCTTGGCGAATACCACATAGAAAACTGCTCGAAAAGAATAAAGGAGAGCGTTTGTACTATCATAGTTGTCACCAAAGGCTTCAAGAAAGGTGATGAATTCCATGGAATGATTATGGCCTTGAAGGAAGGAAAACCGGTGATTCCAGTGCTAAGGGGGGAGAGGGTCTTACCAGCACCTCTGACAGGACGAACATGCCTCGATGCCACGGGTGCTGTCGACTGGGCTAGATTACAGAGAAATATTGAACAGGCGATTGCAGCTGTGAACATCAACGGTTCTTGAAATGAGCGAGCCATTAGATAACTTAGCTACTCCCTTACTAGCATAAGAGGAAACAACATGAAAATGAAATGTACAATTATCATTTAATTACATGGAGACCACACAACTTTCAAAAATACACTTTATGCAACGTCCGCAATCGAAAAGCCATCTTTATGCAAAATTATATATATATTTTAATTTGAACAGTTTGGGGCCACTTTCATGAAACAGTTACTGGAAAATACATTTCTTTTATTTGATATACCTCCTCAAGCATTCTTCACAAGTCAATTGATTCTAAGAGATTTGATGGTCAAAACCAAAGAGAGGTTAATCCACAATATTCTTAAAAATGTAAATTATAGAAAACGAGAAAATAACAGTATATCAACTGATACGCCCCATTTAACTGAGAAAAAGTATATTTCCACAGGTGCACGTGTCCTACTTACAATTGAGAAATTCGAGAAACTAATATTGATAAACTCAGTGATATCCGACTTATTATCGACCATTAACTATTTGGATGTGTTTCTTTCTTTCCTTTGGTAAATATAACTTGTTCGTGTCTGTTAGGGATTGGTTATAATCTCCTTTACTCTATAAACTAACCGTCTCCAAGACAAACCATTGTTATAGAATTTCCATTGTCTCCTTGGAAAAAGTAAAACTATACTACAAAGCATTCGGTCTTGGAAAGGCATAGGTCATAAATATGGCGATCACTCAAAACTTTGTCAGGACGAGTTCAAAGAACACCCCACCGGCATAACTTCACGAATGTAGGGGAAAAGGGACATCTTGGTAGGAAAAACGAACGTTCTCACTGAATGTTTACGTCATGTTTCTGAGAGCATGGCACTTGTCAATGTCAAGTAAGCACAGGGCAAGTCTCAGTTTCAAACCTCAAATGCATGAGACACCTTCTTGTAACGTTTTTGACATTTATCTAAAAGTAAAAATCTAAATTCAAAATGACTCGTGCAGGAAAAGAGACACTTTCGAGACACCCCATACCAGTAATGCTTTTTATGTTTTAAACCTCTGAACTGCATTTATAAAAGCACAAAAATCACATCAGGCGAGGCACTTGTTCATCAGTGCAGTTATGCTATATTCAATCTGAATGGGACAAAAGGTAACATTTTGTATTCTTTAAGGCTTAATTACAGTGATGGATTCTCAATCTCCAAGACCGTTAGGTAAAAGAAATGTTTGACAAACAACCTCAAACTTTCAGTATTTTACAGTATATAAAACAGTGGCTCGAACCTCCTGCGAATAAGAAAATATTCCGAGTGTAAATTTGTCAACATAAACTTTGAGTCCAAGTCCAAAGTTGTCTTCAATATTATTTCTCATCTCTCCAAGTCCTCCTCCATATCTAAGAAGCTTTGTTTTACAATCGGATACAGAAATTCCTTGAATTCAATTTCAGCAAGACTGGATTGTGGCCCTATCCGAGAGGTGGGACGCAGAAACAATGTTTTGATCATATCTGACCACTAAACTGCGATAGACAGGGAGCGTTTATGTATGCACACGGCAATACTGAATGCTCTGCTGTTACACTGTCCTACTCATACATCATTGTAAAACATGTTCCTCGATGTGCCAACGCGCCTCATCATAACAGAATGGGAGAGGTCAGGCATAATGCACATAATGACCTTGCAGGGAATTGGTCTAGCTGTACATAACGTAGGCGTAGAACTTCTGGCCCAGCCCAGGCCGGTATAGCATTTCCTCATTGCTATCAAACGCTTGCAAGTACACCAACACGTACAGTTCTTGGATTCCTGCTTCCTGTTGTCATCCAGGACATTGTGACTTCTGTAAGTACTTAGCTAGGCCTAACTATATGATTATTTGCAAACAATTACGATAATTCAATAATATTTCTTTACCAACTTTTAACTGTTTAAGCTAAAGGGTTACGAAATTACATTTATCTTCAAATTAAGCTTATCAAATATCACTCCGACTGACACCGATATCAAATAATAACCTACTGCTGTTCAAAAATTGACTGAAATGGGTTTGAAGCCAATGTGATCATTCACAGTCGATGCATTCTAAAAGGCCCAAACGAGGATACATGTAAGCCCATAACCACTGCAATGTTTAAAAATATTATGAGTGTTTTTAACTGTGGGAGTTTGGCTGCATTTGTTATCTCACACGGCGATCTGTCAAAATATTTCTCATGCAGTTTGACAAGCGGGAATTCCCAAGCGCATGCAACAATATAGACTTGCCTCAAGTCCACTGATAACAGTGGTGTGCCACACAAATGTCTGCTTTCGTACAAGTATTATGACAATATCATTTATGCAATATAAAATACCGACTGAAAACATGTTTTAAAAGGCCCGCATTTCCCTGGCACAAAAACTCTAAGCTATGGTTCATGATTACAAACTTACACTTTGTAGATGGCAGACCGTCATGAGCCTCCCGTCCGTTATTCAAGATGCTTTTATTACATCTACCACTGATAAAAGCAACTGCATGATGATGTAATAAGAAATTCTGCCAGGGGATTGAAAACCGCATCTATAGTAATTTTAACATTCTATTGTCAGAGTATATGCCCATCTAATCAGACCGTTAACTACTCTTTGAACTGTTGTCTCATGCACTGCATACTCGAATCTCATCTAGCGACTGATGAATTATTCAAACGTTCTTGGTCAGAAAGTAGTCCAGACAGTACAGTGAATACTCAAGACAATTATGCACGGGGAAGTTTAGTTTTCACATGGATTTATGTCACCAAGCAATAAGCAAAGTGAGGAGAGGAAACGATGACAGGCACAATTGGGAAAAAAATCAGAAACCTACGGAGACCACGAACAAACTAGTTTCAATTAAAACGTCTTGGAAAAAAAGAACTTTCAGATCTGCTGTCATGTTACAAATTCTGTCATATTTAACTTTACAGGATACTGCAATCATGTCTCCCGCCGATGCATTTGGCCATTTTCTGCTGCCATTGACAATGAACAAAGGTCACATTGAGACGAAGGTGGCTGATTACGTGTTTGACGTGAGAAGCACCTATCTCGAATTGAAGAAACAACGGCCGGAACGGCATGCCATCAGAAATCTACTTGGAATGCTTGCCTTTCGAACTGGTCAGTTTCAAGAAGCTTTACAATATCTTGACAGAATCCTATCCACAGGGGAAGATCCCGAGAACTTGAACGCCCTGGCAAATCGTAAGTACATTTGTGAGAAGTTATTCAGGATTCAAGAGGCCAGAGATTGTGAGCAAAGAATTACTGATCTCATAAATGATGATGGAACCGAGGGCTCACGGGAGAAGTGCATAAAGCTACGAGCACGTAGTCTGGCAGAGCAGGCTTTTGCCTACTCGTTCGAACTTTTTGAGGAAACGGTAACCGTCGAACGCTATCTGAAATCAGTGGAATTATACGACCGGGCAACTCAACTTGCTGGACATTTAATAGACCAAGATGAGAGAGAAGATTGGGAATCTGTGTGTGGAATGGCCTGTCATAAAATATATACCAAATGCAAATTCGACAGGTCAATGAAACATCAACAGAAAACGTGGTTTCAGAAAGCTGTCAACAAATTCTTGTCGATAGTGCAAACAAGTTGCGAGAATAGTTTGCTGAGTGAAAGCTGGCGTCATCTTGGGGAACTATTCAGACAACCAAATGATTTACCTTCCATACCACAAAACATGGCAATTTACGTGAAAGAACCTGAAAAGTGCTTTGAAAAAGCTTTGGAAATCTCACCTAGGGATGGAAAAATTCTTGCAAGGATTCTGGCCAGATATGCTTCCCATTTTAGAAAAAACGAGAAATACGCAGATGCAATAATGAAGGTCAATAAATCTATCGAATGTGACCCCTCTGGGTTCAACAACCACGCCTACTATGTGCGGGCAAGCATCTCGCTCGAAGTCTACAAGAAAAGGCTCAAAAACATGAGGTTGCATCCCGACGATCCTCCTGATCCATCCTTTCTAGAGGACGCCGAAAGAGATATGAAGATAGCTTTTCAACAATCATCCACGCCGTGGCATTTTCATTGCATGGCTGAGGTCTTGTATTACAAAGCAACACATCCAAACAAACACTCAGGTGAAGCAAGGACGCGAAGGAATGGAAAACATGCAACTCGCCCTGACATACTGTGCCAAAGCCGTCACATGCCAAGATGGTCAGAAGCAGGCAGATTATCACAGGCTGCGAGGCGACTGTCTCTGTGCTATGGGTGAGCACCAGGCAGCTTTAGTGTGCCACAAACGAGCCCTTGAGTGCGAAATAGGCGTTAATCACTATAAAAGAAGCGGCCATTCTCTAGTGATAGAGTTCGCACATATTCTTGAGCACAAGCAATCTCTCGCTCAGGATTTCAACTTCCTCAGTGACATGCTTTATTGGCTTCTGGAGGTGGCTAACATTTGTCTCTCTCTTAAATGGACTCTGTGGTCTCTCCAAAAGGTAAAAGACCTTCCCGGGATTTGGGAGTCATTTGTCCAGTTCTGTAATGACAACGGATACAATTCGGAGCTAGAAACCATACAGCTTGCGGTGACTGATCAAAGGAGTCGACCCACGCAGCTGCACCCTCGCCGGATGTACTCTGTTCCCACGGCGGAGGGCAGATCATCACCTGTAATATCAAAACGACAGCACTGCTATTCCGAGACAAAAAGCTACGAGTTAGAAGAGGCAGCATTTGAACCCCAAACCACCCGACTTAAGAGAGATACTCAAAAGAGAAATGATGAAGAAACATTCCAGACTGCAGAGGAGGCAGGAGACAGTGCTACGGCATTACCAGGAGAATCCCCTAAGACCTTTGAAGAGCACATCCCTGCCAAACTTGATAAAGACGTCCAGACTGGGGCCGAATTACTGTCTCAACTAGATCTTTCTCCTGCCCCTGACACAATCCAAGTCACGTACTCCGTCAACCTCAAAACTGGACACACACAGCACGTTTCCACGACCCCGTCTTCTCAAGAACTATCGACGGAGGACGTCTCCAAGAAGTACGTTCGTGTGGCACCTGAGACACCACTGTATCATCTTGAACTGAGGTACGATTTCTTTGTCATATACGGCAAAAGTGCGTCTGAATGGGTGAAACATCGCCTGCTTGAGGAACTGGAGGGAGTTGGCTTTAAGGGATGCATCAAAGATCGTGACTTCATCCTTGGCAAACCCAAACTAGAAAACTATTCGGAAAGCATTAAGAACAGTGTCTGTACCATCATAGTTATCACCAAGGATTTCGAGACAAACAATCATGACGTCATGGCTATGCATATGGCGTTGGAGGACAGATTAGTGATTCCTGTTTTGCGTGAAGACAGGGACATGCCGCCTGCACTAAAACCAATCGAATATCTTGATGCAACGGGTGCTGTAGACTGGGCAAAGTTGGAGAGAAGTATCGAGCAACAAGTCAAGCTTGATGTTGCTTGGGAAGGGTGATATAAAGACAGCATTATAACATTGTGAAGTCCTAATTTCAATTGTTTTGGTAATCCAAAGTTTCCAGAGTTTCTTTTGTACTTTTCATGCTCAATCCAAATCCTTTTGCAGTGTAGGTTTTTGCCTCGAAAATGATTCTTCTAATATCAAAACATTTGATCTTTTAACTGTTTGATTTGTGTAGTCACTACAGACAGATGTTTTGAATTCAAATAGCAGTGAAGTGAATTCGTGCGTATAGGAATTATTGCATTCGATGTTGTGGTATAAAGATATTCCGCTCGTTATACTAAATAATGATATATGTACATATTTATGAATGCTATTGCAAGCATGATTCCATGACAGACTGAATGTTTAATGCCACGAAGAAAAGCAAAGTATAAGAGAACGATTACTCTTTTTTCAAATCTTATCCATTTTACGAATTTAAAGCATTAGTTGATTCATACAAGGCCTTTTATTTTGTACGAGTCCGAGGAACAAAATTTGTGACACGAGCTTTTCTCGTTCCGCCTTTGTTCATGCCTAGCAGACGATCTTTTGCGTCTTGAAATTTTCCCTGGACGCTTGATAATTTGTCTATTCGTCTATTTGTTTCACTCAGATACGGATTGTAATCAGTGATCCCAACGCTTGTTCTTCCATCTATTAGGCGGGGTTTAGAGTCAGTGAACGAACGTTGGATCACTGATCACGGGTGGGATTAGCGCGAGTCAAATTGGCCGACAATCAGAGGGGTTTAACCAACTGCCTCAACGTTGATCCAAGCAAACTGGTCGGAGACAAACCGATCAGGTGACGGGGAAATTATCGGCTGTTGTTGAAGAAACATCATGGTTTTTCTGTGGAATAGGTCACATCGAAAACCACTAACTACATGTTCTCAGTATAAACACTTAAGCGATAGGCTGTTTTCTGGATAATTTTAGGCCAACTGTAATGTTATAACATTAAGGTGTTTCATAGATTTCATTCTACTTGAGCTGATTTCGTTCACACGTAATAAATGCATAATATTCAGCAAAACCTTTCAAGTCTTCTTCACAATTATGTGACATATGGCTTCTGGGATTACAGGGGTGTGAAGTTTATTAAGATAATTTATGCAGGGAAGAGAAGGGAAGAATGGCCCCTCTCATATTTTAAGAGGGGGATAAATAGCGTTTTAGGAAGCTGGGGCATGTCACATTGTCCTGCTATCCATTTATAAATCGTACAAAAACAACTTATACTTTAACTCTGAGGTTGAAGTTCACAGGCATAGATTGGATTCGTATACCAGCCAGTAGTAAAAAGGAACATCAAAAACAATACGTCTGAGTTTCCTTGCTTATACTCGAAACACACAGCCAATAAAAAGTAAATATAAAAGTATACAGGTCGTCGCCGACACATTTCGCTAGAGCTCGGGCAAATTCGTAAGACCTGATATGGTTCAAAGGGTGAGTTGAATGTTACATTTCGGCAATTTGAATTTTAAATACAACTGTCTACACAACAACCTGCCAGAATAAAATGTATGCAACATCAGCCCTCCTACACTCCTCCATGTCTCAGCTGCCCTAAGTTGCATTCTCTGAATCAGATTTTCCAATCTCACAGAGTGATGATCCTGTATCACTTCTTAAGTGCAAAGCCTGTATGTGCGATGAACTTAAAGAGCAACTCAAAGGAAAACATGTTTTCTCTGATTTTATCTGTTCAAATAAATATGGAAGCACCGAAATCGAACACAGTGTCATTTGTCCTCCGAGCTCAACTATAACAAGCTAAAGAGCTTTTTTCTGTTCATGCCAAGATGCGAATTCTGAACATGCTGAATGTGGATTGCGTCATTCTGAGAAAACAGAGAAAACGAGAGGAACCCTCGCCCTGTGTTCGTAGTGGATAAACCCTTGTGCATTTCAAACATTGCACGTAGCCATTGTTCCATGCGTTCGATAGGATGCTTCCATATTTATTTGAACTGACAAAATTAGAGAAAACATTTTTTCCTTTGAGTTGCTCTTTAAGAAAAGCGTCAAAAGCTCATCAAAAAGTACTTCTGAGGTAGAAATACTTTTCTCTCTTGGCGTAATCAGTTGGCGCTGTGATTACTTTCATCGCTTTTCATTTCTGTGACAGGTATGAATCCCACCCAGGTCGACATGTGGATTGGTTTTCTGTCTTGTTAATCCGTGGGTTTTAATCATTTTTTAAAATCTTTTTTACCTTGATATACATGTGGTGATTTCCTCCCATTCTGACATTGGAAATATCTCAATACCATTGTTCTCACCTTGGGCCTGTACGAAAACAGTGTGTTTGTCACTTATGGGGCTAATATAACACGGTAAAGTCACGCTAGTAAATGCACACATATGTTGTGTTGTCGGGAGCTACTGAACAAAAGAACAGCAAAGGTCAAGGGGATATGTAGCGAGACTGCAAACAACCTGTTTATGTATGATGTAGGCGGGTCCTCGCTGCCCTGCTATCACTGCGCTTTTCAATGGTCCCACAGACCCAACATACCAACACACAGAACGTTTCCAGAGCTTGTCTGTCTCCCGATATGATCCACGAAACTGAAGAATCCGTGAGTACTTATAATTAGTAGGACTGAGTTGATGTGTTAGAGATGAAGTTAGAATTGTTAAATCAATTCTAAATATCAGCTTTATTACTAATAATGTGTTGTAAGTTTAAGCGGCAGGGAACCGGCAATAAAATCATTGTGAGTGTACCTTATCGGTACGCTGCAAAGCTTCCGACACACTGAGCATTTAAGGTTTGCGTAAATCAGTCATTCATTTGAAATGATTTTAATTACTTTTGTAACTTGGTTGCATGAAGACGGAAACCAGTTTACTTCAAATTCATATGCAGCTTGTTTCAATAAGCCCCGTATACCAATTACTGTGTCTTTAATTGCCATGAAAAAAGATTAATGCTGGGATAGGACAAAATTTTATCCTTCAAGATATATGCCTTTTTTCATTGATGGTGTTGGCAAGCTTTCACCCAGGGACGAAATATTAAATTACGCCGTGCCCGAATACTTGGCTGTGGCTTGCAATTAATCACGAGTCTATGATAGTGGCTGCAGCCATTAGCCAAAAAGGCGAATGTACTTTCAAGCCGCAGCCGATCAATTTGGAAACAGCCTTATTTTTCATTCGCTAAAGAAACGGGAACTCCCAGGCGCACGCAATAATAAACTTGTTTCTAGTCCACTACCAGTGACAACGTGTCACCGTAAAGCGCAAAGTAGTGCACCCCCAAGACACACATTCACCGATTGAAAATACGCAAAAATACAAATTAGCCTTCTTGACGAGTTTGAAAAGCTGTAATTGTTTTTAAGATTAACTGAAGCTATGTAGTACTAGTGAAATACGGCCTATGGCCAAAAGTCTGCTACAAACAGTTACATGTGTAAAAATGTATTCCGAAATTAACATGGAATGTAGAGAAAAACACTGCAGATTTAAAACTGCTCTTCATCGTTGTCATGTATCTAATTCAACAGGGCAGTGCGACCATGTCATCTGCAGAGGCATTTGGTCATTTTTTGCTGCCGCTGACAATGAATAAAGGTCACATCGAGGCCAAGGAGGCTGATTACGTGTTCAAAGTTAGAGGTGCCTTTCTTGACATGAAGAAAGAGCGACCCGAGCGGCACGCCCTCAGGAATCTCCTTGGTATGCTGGCGTTCCGAACTGGTCAATTGGAAGAAGCTTTCGAATACTTGGACAAAATTTTGTCCGAGGGAGAAGACCCTCATAACCTGAACGCTCTTGCAAACCGTAAGTACATGTGTGAGAGATTATTAAGATACCCAGAGGCAAGGGACTGTGAGAGAAGGATTGCTGCTCTTATTAAGTATGATGGAACCGAAGGATCTCAGAAAAGGAGCAAAAAGTTACGAGCACGCAGTCTGGCTGAACAAGCTTTTGCCTACTCTTTTGAACTTTTTTGGGAATCGGTATCAGTTGAACGGTATTGTAAGTCGGTGGACTTGTACGATCAGGCCATTCGTCTTGCCGGACATTTAATAGACCAAAATGAAGAAGAAGACTGGCTGTCAGTCAACGGAATGGCCTGCCACAAAATTTACAACAAATGCAAATACGATAAATCAATGAAGGATAAGGAGAAAACGTGGTTTGAGAAAGCTGTCCAGAACTTCGCGTCACTGGTCCGAAAAAGTCGAGACTGCAGTTTGGTGAGTGAGGGCTGGCGACATCTCGGAGAACTCTTCGGACAGGTTAAAAAGTCACCTCAGCTTTTACCTTCAATACCTCAAAATATGAGAAAATACGTCTCCGAGCCAAGAAAGTGCTTCGAAGAAGCTATGAAAATCTCACCTCAAGATGCAAGAATTCTTGCTAGGTATGCAGCTTTCCATCAGCGAAACAGAAATTATACACAGGCTTTGTCAATGGTCAACGAGTCTCTTGAATGGGACAAAACTGAATTCAACCAACATGCGTATTATGTGAGAGCAACTATTTGGCTTAACAAGTACAAGAAACAGCCAGCCTCTAACCTCCTCCAAAGAGCCGAACAAGATTTGAGAACTGTTCTCAAAAAGTCGTCAACACCATGGCATTTTAAGTGCTTGGCTGAGGTACTTTATTACAAAGCAATGGACCAAAACAGTGAGTTGAAGCAGGAAAATGAGAAACAGATCAACCTGCAGCTGGCTCTGACATACTGTGCCAAAGCCCTGATCTGCCAAGATGGTAAGAATAGGGCAGAAAATCACAAGCTGAGAGGTGATTGTCTCTGTGAAATGGGAGAGCACCAGGCGGCTTTAGGGTGCTACCGACGGGCCCTTGAGTGTGAAATAGGTACTAACTCGGTCATGGGGAGTGGCGGGAATTCTTTAGTTACAGAGTTCCACCACATCCTCAAGGACAACGCAACTCTCTCTGAAAACAAAAAATTCCTCCGTCATATGGTCTACTGGCTTTACAAGGCAGCTGAGTTTTGTCTTTCCAATGATCTCATCTTGTTGCCACTGAAAAAACTAAAAGACCTTGCAGGGCTTTGGGAGTCATTTGCCCAGTTCTGTGACAGTAACAAATACAACTCGTACCTAGAAATCATAGAGCTGGCAGCGACTGACAAGACGAGTCGACAACGACAGCATGCTGCCTCTCGGATGTACTCTGTTCCGGAATTTCAAACCAGGGGCGACAAAGAAAAATCTGTTCTACCAAAAAGACCCCAACGCTACTCTGAGTCACAAGGCTTGGAAGTTGAACGGACAGTGTTTGACACGTTCCAGTCTACAGAGGAGTTAGACATGGATGTTGGGGCATTTGCAGGGCCATCAGGGGAAAACGTTCTTGACAGCCCCGACAGAAGCGTCCGGACTGCGGCCAAATCTTTGTCAGAGATAGATCGTACCACAACGCCGTCTCCTCCAACACCGTTACCAGGAGATGGCTTTCAGCAGCAGGTTCGGGATGCACCTGAAAAACCACTGAATCAAAAGGGTCTGATGTATGACTTCTTTGTGATTTACAGCAGCAATGCGTCGGAATGGGTAAAATACTGCATGTTGGAGGAACTTGAAGAAGACGGTTTTAAGGGATGCATTAAAGACCGTGACTTTATCCTTGGCAAACCTAAGAAGAAAAACTACGTGAACAGCATCCAAAAAAGTACCTGTACCATCATAGTCATCACTGCAGACTTCCGTGAAGATAAAGATGCCCACGACGCTATGTATATGGCTCTTGACAGCAGTCCCCTAGTGATTCCTGTTCTACGTGAAGCCACAGGCATGCCCCCAGAGCTTAAACACATCGCTTACCTTGATGCAACAGGTGTTGTAGACTGGGCTTTGTTAAAGAGAAGTATCGAGCAACAGGTTAAACTTGATGTTGCCTGGGATGGTTGATAGTTTTCAATTCGAGTGATGGTGATCGGGCTGAGCCCAATCGCTTGGTATATGAATGGGTGCTTTCTCCTTGGTCGTAGTTTTCTGGACGACATTTCTGGAAATATTATTGCAGACTGTACAAAATATTAGACTGAAACTTCGCATGAACATCAACTCTGACATCAAGATGTGAATACAAGAGAACACCATTAGGTTTCAAGCAAGAAGCGAGTTTTTACCGCAAACTGTGACTAAATTCGGTCAGCTAAATTACAACTAAACTTTTTCTCGTCTCTCACAAAAAAACAAACAAAACATGTTTCTTGTGGGATGTGATTAACCCTAACCCTCTGGGCGTATGTCAAATCACACTGAAATCAGCGGATTTGGGACTGTTACGTATAGCTATTCCTCAGCAGCAGTATATTTTCAATTTTGACAAAAATTGACCTTTACTTCTAATATTAATGGAAGCTTGAAACTAGGTTAATTTCGAAAGAGAGAAATCTCACATACTCTCTGAATGCAAAAGTGTGAAAAACCCACTCTTAAATGGGTGATTTTCGTTAAAAGTATTATTATTTTTGGGTCATGATTATGATTATTATCATTATTATTCTATTCAGAAATCAATCAACAAATTGTACATATACGTAGAGAAAACCGGACACGGTTGATTCATTCTGGGATAACCCAAGAAAGCCAATTACACGGGCTTACTTCCATCGGGGTCCCTTAAGTTTGGACAAATTTACACTTGTACATAACAAACAAAACATGAAAAGCAAGTAAATTACCAATCCACTTATCGACCACTATTTCATTAATTACTGATTAAAATCACATTCAAATTTCCCTGCATTACAAAAATCAAAACAATCAAATGCATTAAAAACATTTGATATCACTCATTCCCTTCCCATTAATCAAGAATCAGTCTTATTACATAGAGACACTACATTTCTGTATTTCTCTATTGATTGGCATTTTGTGATAGATATGACTTTACTTGTTTTTTTAAACCCTGGAAGACTGGAGATGCTTCTCATATTAGACGGCAGTGCATTCTAGTCTTTAACAGCTGTAACAGAAAATGAATTTCTTCTAGAGTGAGTTGGAACAATGAAATTAAACAAACTTTGCCTTGTATTGTAAGAGTATCTATCAGAAACACAGGTGAAATTATCACGCATATATTTGGGAGCTAAGTTATGGACCATTTTAAATACATGATTGAGGTTCAATTGAGTCACCCGATCCTGAACATAAAGTAACCCCAGTCTGTCAAGTTTTCTCTGACCAATATGAGCCCTACGATTTTTGTCCAGTAATTTGTTCTTCAGTCTTACGGATAATGCAGAGTACCATGATGAACATGAATAATCAAAGTGACATTGAATCAACGCAGAGCACAAAAATTACGTGATTTTTCATTGAGAAAATTGGCCTGTCTGTATAAAAACTTCAGTCTGTCCCCAGCTTTCTTAATAGTTGAAGTAGCAATGCATTCACCAGTTAAAACAGGGTCTAGAATAACTCCTACATATTTAACAGATGAAGATAATTAAACCATTTCTCTATTGCACTTTACTGCAAATGAATCTACTTTCTTCAATTTGCCCTTAGACCCAAACAGAATAGACTCTGTTTTGCCCAAATGTAAAGATAATTTGTTGTCAATGAGCCATAGCACAACTGTTCCTACATGTATTTCATGAGAGTTTTTGTCAGAAACCAAGAGAGCACTATCATCAGCATAAAGTAGTATGAATACTCATTGGCATGTCATTTACATCACATAAGAATAGTAAAAAACACTCCAAAAGAGTGAAAACCACTCCAAAGAGTAAAAATCACTCCCCAAGAAGTGTCCCTTAAATGGTTACCTCAGTTTTGGAGTTACATTCACTCTTTTTTAATGGTTTTCACTCTTTTAGAGAGGTTTTCGGTTATTCAGTTACTGTTTTGACATTCTTTTATGAGGGACTCACTCTTTGGAGACTGAGTTTCTCACTCCTTAGCATTTAGAACTTAAGACAAACATGTGCCTATAGATGTTCACATTTTTATGAAATTCCCATGACGTCACTGTATAATGAATTACTTTTAAATAGTGGTTAAAAGAAACGTTTTAACTCTATCATTTTAAATTGCATGAGATAACACTTTTAAATTTTAGGATCTGGGAAACTTTGGCAACGTGTTTTGATGCAGACACAAAAACTCTCTTGGCCTTTACTTCCAGGGCAAAAGGAAGTGGAAAAAAGTAATTTTTCTTTAATGAACAATATCCCTTTAATGTTTTAAGGGGTTTGTCAAACTATAAAAGGAAAGCTGACATTTATCACACAAAACGGTATAGTGACTTGTGGCATATTAAAGCCTAGACTGGGCATTAAGTATGACGGCTTGTGTGAAGTTCAGCAACAATGACCCCATTGAACCAGGGAGTTGTTGCAGAAAGAATTTCTAGATGATTTTTTGTTAGTTCGACCGGGTCATTAAATACACATATGAGGTGTTTTACAGGAAGTGGCACGAACTAGATTGTCCACAAAGGGTTAGCAAACCAGAAGTCACTATCACCCGATCACTTCACATCTGTAAATAAAAGAACATGAATTTTTCATGAATGTAAGCCAAAGTTAATGTCTATGTAGCAATTCCACTTAAAACATGCTAGAATAAGGAATTGGCAAAATAACTCAAAATAATGGATGCGATTTTTTATGTTTGACTGACGGCACGAAAAAATCACTCGAATACCAGCAATTGTCCAAGTGTATTTATCTGTTATCACTGGTCAATGGACTAAGACATACAAAGCATTCATCCTGGCAAGTAAATTTTCAACGGAACACAAATGATACCTGTGTCTTCCAGTGGTTTATTCTAACCGCCACAAGCTGGCCAAAAACTTCTCTCTCCCTAACATCAAACGATCATAACACTTGAAAAAAAGGAGATTTTTCTTTACGGCTTTGGAAAGACAGTTTGGGTGTCGTATGGATGTTTTCGTAGACACTGTTGTTAGGTCTTTTTATTTTGTTGATCAGACCGTTCACTCAGAAAACTTTCAAGTCTATAATTTTCATTTAAACAAACCAACTACATTTATGCTGTGTATATGTAAAGAGAGAATACCAAAATCTTTTTTCCTTAAAGGATCCAAGAAACGAATTTTTCTTAGGAGCACTTTTTATGTATCTCTGTACCCATTTTCAATATATGAAGACTGTTTGGCATCTTTTATATTGTAAAATATTTCTATTTCATGGTCCCTTTAACTACAGGCCTACACGTAATTTGTTAGGAATAAAGCCAAACTTTACAATACATTTGATAATATTTTATGAAGAGGAAGCAAGCTTCTAAACTAAATTGGTCTCTTTGTCTTAATTAAAAACTACTCAATTCATTATTCTAACAATTAGCTAACTCAATATTATAGCTGAAGTGCTTCGTGTTCAGAGAAAACTGGGGCAGATAATGAATGAATCGATGAAATCTCCCCTTGCCCCAAAGTGTTTATCACAGGTTGTACCACAAGGAGTGAAGAAAAACAATATCAATGATAACAGAGAGTCATAAATCTTATGCACGAAACTGGTGAAAGACAGTCAAAATCTAAAAATGATAGAACTTTCGATTTTATACGTTGCGACTGACATCCTTTGACGCTCATCCACGATGCATTTAAAAACCCAACTGCAAATTGTGCGCTTACAAANGGCTAGCAGAAAGAATCATGGCGTTCAATGAGCTCAAGTATAGCGACTAGGTATATTTGCCTACGAAAGGCGAAACAGTTAAAGAGATACTAGCTGGATTTTGACTCTCAATACACGCTGCGTCACATCACATTTAGGTCGACTCACGCTTCACTGGGCACGGGTGTAAACCAAATTATACATGTACATTTGTACTGTATACTGTGTGTACTGTATACGTATAAACATATCCCATGATCCGTTGCCCTTTTGTGCGCCCATCCATTACATCTCTGTGCGTTGGAAATAGCATTATCCCCTCCGTACTCAATTTAGCCAAATGTATAGGCGAAAATGCGTGACACGCCTTTCACTTCCGCTACGAATCGTTAAGCATGGCAACTGGCAATGAATAGATTTTGAATTTTATATCCATTTTGTTGTTCTGATATGCACTTGTCATGCAACCTATTAGAGAACTATTTTTTAGCACATAACAACTAAAGCATCAGAATGTTCCAATGATTTCTGTTCAAATCATTCATTTAGTTTAACACGATTTAACAACATATTAAAGAACCTATTGTTATGTATTAAATTTAATTTCAAAGGCCTTTATTCCAATACTTCAAGAAGTTGTGTCTGGATTTTTGTTGTATTTACCAGAATTGTCCAATGTCAAACCGAAACAAAGGGCCGGAGGCTTAAGAAATATACCGACCACAGAGGGTGCCATGAGGTTGATGTTAAAGACCATGTTCCGTAACGCAACCCAGAAACGTGAGCAAAATCGGTCATCGATTGAAGGAATTCGGCTTTGGTTTCAGAAACCATTCAGAAGTTTTGTTGTACAATGTTTTATGGACAGGGAAGTATTCAACGGTATCATCAAGACATACACTGGCATCTGTGCGCAAAGACTATCAGAATATCTCGAAACACTGGTAGGTTTCTTACCATCTAATCTGAGAATTGCTTCAAGGTATGTGTGGAAACTAATCAAGAAGATGAGGTTTGCTGCTGTCATCAGCTCGCTGGTTAACTTGTGTCTAACAACAGAATGTGCTTTGAGGTCAACGATAAGTCAGCCTGAGAGGTCGCCAAATCCGCAACTTCCCTACCACTTCTTTGTCATACACACGGCCAGTCAGCTGCTTTGGGTAGAGCAGTACATGCTGGCAGAGCTGGAAAAGACCGGTTTGAGGGGGTGCATCAAGGACCGCAACTTCCCAGCCGGGATGTTGGTGCTAAGCTCCTACGCTGAGGGAATCCGGAACAGTCTCTGCACCGTCATACTTATCACCCAAGACTTGGAGGAAGATCGCCTCTCTGGCAATGTCATACACCAAGCAGTGCAACATTCTAGCTCAGTTATCCCCGTCCTGAGGGAGGAGAGCAGAATACCGGAGGTGCTCCAACCCTACCAGAGCTTCGATGCCACGGTGTAGTTAACTGGCGGAGACTTGAATGGAGTATCAGAGAAACTCATAGCGAATGGAACTGTAGGCCTACATACACTAAA